GGACTGCGTTGTGTGGCTGGTGGGTGGGGGGGCAGTAGTTGTGCTGCCAGGCGGCGTGGCCGGCCCAGGCGTGGTCGAGGCTAGCGCAGCTGCCGTAGCGCCACGGCTGCGCCAGGCAGTGCGGGCAGCCGGCGCATGCCGGGCCGGCAGGGCCACCTTGAGGTCCCACGCCTAGCTCCATCACGGAGGTACCTCGCCGCAAGGGCCGGCCCCAGGATTGCGTTGGATTAGGCCCATTTGAACTATCCCATGTCCCTACTGGCATAGGCTGCACCTAAAAAGTTACAGCGATTTTAATCAATATTGTGTATAGTTATATACTTAACATAAGTACCGAAACTGTTAACTGTCGCAAAGAATATAAAATAAATTCAAGGTATACTGCTGTCTATTTATTATATATTTTATCTTTTTCATCATTTCCACGTTATTTTTTTTATTGCACCCTAAGCAGTTTTTGTTTCTATTTATGCATCTGAAACATCTGGACCTATAAGATTATGGGTTCCAGAATTAAATTTATTTAATGGGTAGGAAATCATAACATGTAATAAGTACCATGTTTTGGGGAACAAATCCCGGAAGGGATGTTCGTTGTCGTCCCCATGCGTTAGGAGCGTGTCCAAGTGTATTGGATTGTTCATGTGTCGGCGCGACAGATGTTTGTGCGTGTTGCATGGTCGCTGACAGGTATGGCATGCTGCCGAGATGCGCCGGCGGCGGCGGCGGAGGCATCTGCAAGTGCGTCTGCGCTCGCGCCGTAAAATGGTTCGGATTGGCTGCAGCCGGGCCGTGCAGCACAGGCATATCATTCGTTGAAATGGATGTCAGTGTGGCGCGACGCTGATCTGGCGTTGGTAATCTAGGGCTTGCGCTCAATCTGTCGCCGGAGATCTAGAATATTGTAATAAAACATTATTACTAATTTTTAGTCTGGCTTAAAAAGGAAGGATGGATTGGTATGTTTTAATTGTGTACCTTATGTTTTCTTGGCGGTGGCACGGGCGGGCCTGTCTTCGGCGGTAGGGGCGGACGCTCGTCAATTAGTTGGGATTGCGATAACGCCTATATTGTAAAAGCACCTTTATTTTTGTTCTTTTTGATATCATTATGATAAAACTAAAAATTAGCTCAATAAAAGATGAATTAATGCGTACTTCATTCGATTCTGCGACGTGTTTTCGTATGGAAACACGTTAGTGGTTTAAAAAAAAAACGTGGAGTATTTATCCTGTGATTGAATAAGGTTATGAAGATATTTAACTAGTTTAGCATGTTTTTTTTTCTTGATATCAGCCCTAAAGAGAGCTCTATAAAGCTACAACATTGGCCAAATCCCAATGTAATGACGTCTTTAAATTATTTCACTATTACGATTGATCCTTAAAAATACTTCGTCTATTACTTGCGACATTATGGTTATATATTATATATATACTCTTGGCGCGATGCCAATATTCTACTCACTGCATTGTATACAATATGCGCTTTTGTTGTTCTATATGTAAGTTCATTAACTCATTCGATTAATATTGCTTACTTGTATTGAATTATTCATTTTCAATTAATATTTTAATGATATTTGCGTATTAACCTCCAAGTTTATTACAATTATTTGTCTTAAAGGAGGCACTACTCGTAACATTGGTGAAAGTATTGTCGATTATCAAATTTTATGGCAGCTCGTGGTTAGGTGTATGTTAAAGCGTGCGTAGAGTTATGCTCCAATTTTACATTCCTCTAAGTCGCACCGATAAACAAAATTGTGTTGTGCACAACGTCTCGTGCTAACTTGTGAGCCGCCGTAAAATTTGTATATGATCATGTGACAATATGTGACCTGTCTCTGGTGGTGACGCCGCTTCGGATGTCGGTGGTACATGTCATCGCAGGAGGCGCAGAGCGCGCGCCGGCCGCACTCCGCGCACCGCACGCGCGCCCCGCCACCGCCGCATAATCCGCACGACGCACCCGCCTCCGTAGGATGACCTGATCAACAAAATATTAAAACATTACCAAAACACGAAAGACCATAAGTCAGTAATAAGTTTTAAATGTAATGAACAAGGGGATTACATCTGAAATCTTGCAGCGCAACGTATGAGAGTAAAAGCGAGAAAATTATATAGTCTATCAGAATGCCTTACATTCGATAGGCGTCAGTTTAAAAATGAGTACATTAATATGTTCCTACCTGTCTGTGGTCTAGGCGGTGGCGGGGGCGGGGGCTGGAGCTTCGCATTGACGTACTGTTCAGCAGGGAATTCCACCACCTCGTAGTCGGGCTCCGGCCTGGCCAGTGGCGGCCGGCCTACCGAGCGGATCGACAGCGTCGGCGTGGGAGGCACAGCAGCTCTGGGGTCCCGGCCTCGCCCTTTCAACATCTATACATAATTACATACAACATAATGTAATAAATAATAAACAACTGATTTCTTTTATATTTCATTAGTAGCAGCTGGAAAATTACTAGAGCTGATTGATGGTCAAATGTCATCGCCATTGATTATTTACTTCAGCTTTTATCACAAGATTTAAGCGAAAGATGATTTGATAATCTAGGATAGTCTAATAAGGAGAGGAAAAAGGGTGAGCATACAGATAATTAATCATAACACATCCTAATGTATACTCAATTCTACACAAGCTAAAATCAATCGAGTCACAAGTTTGTAATGGTGTCATGTTCTTTAATCAGGAAATAGTACTGTCGTAAATTTGTAATGAGCACATAAACTACGAGTACATGCCGTGTGCCGTCAGCAATAGTGTTGACGGCTTGAGATATAGAGCAATGTCCTCTATTGAACACGGGTCAGTTATTTATATCATAAACTAAAGAATTCTTTACTTCTTCATCACCGGCACTTTTATTGTTTTAATGATATAGATGGAATCTCACTAAATAAAAAAGTATTCTTTAGTAAACTATTGTGCCAATTGTCATACTTCATTCACAATTAGTTACATTATCGAGATAATAGCGCTGTCATACTTACGAAAAAAAATGTCATACTTACGAATTAGTTAACTTTTATAGGATCTTGATTAGCTTATTTAATATTCAATAATTGTTTGCTGCTTCCTGTCTTACTAATATTATAAATGCTAATGTTTGGAAGTATGGATAGATGAATAGATAGCAGAACAGCTGTATGGCATGAAATCTTGATGAACAAAATCTGGAAGAACACATAGGCTGTGATTCCGGAAATGTGCACAGTTCCCGAAGGATAAGTTTGATTTACAGTTTTCCCGATAACTCCGCCATTATTCAACACATGTTATTGAGTTATGAAACAAAACGGGTACGTAGAGCATAATCGAATTTTAGTAATATTAAACTCTCCCTAAACTCGTTTCTTGGTTACATCTTCGTCCATGGAAACTTATTTACAATGCTTTGCTCAACTACAGTTGTAATAATAAATTGTAGAATAATATTCTTCTCTATAGAGAAGAATATTATTTTTATAGTTTTTATAATTAGCTTGACATTAAATACCGATTTCGAATATATATTATAATTCAAATTGTATTTAAACAAGTATAGGAAATGAAGTTTCTCTCTTTCAGTAATATTTTATGTAAGCAACAAGAAACTTGAAAAATATAATTTATGAACAATTCTTGAAAGTCTTCTATACTACTTGATTATTTTTTTTAACTTTAAGTCATTTTGTTTGATTGTTTAATTTATGCGATGTTTTTTATGCAGAAATTTTATGCTTTTATAGATATTTAAACCCGGAACACCTTTGTGTTTCCACCACATATAACGTCAACAGTTTTATGTACAGTAAGCAGTTGCACAGAAATATTGTGATATGCAGCTGTGGCCGGGCCGCTGGGCGTTCGGGCGGGCGGCCGCTGTCGACTCTCCGACATCGACGCCGACGCCGCTTCGACCCATTTATTTCGCCTCTCATATCCCAAAATATCGAAACTATTTACACACTTATTATATTTCATTCCGGTCACAAAATGTTAATACGTTACTTATATCTTTTTTAATATTCCCTCTTTATATTGTAATTCTTAATTAGTCTATCATCACGAAAATAAACGGAATCAAAATACTTGCCTTGTATTTATGCGTCGAGTTCTCTAGCGGTGTTCCACTTGTGAAATACGGCGGTATGCACTTTCAATTTGGCACAAACAATACATCATATGAGTAATAATTAACACAAAAATAGGATCCGTAAAATTACGCAACAACAGAGGTCTGGAGGAACACTCGCGAGGGCGGGGGGCTCCGGTTCCGAGCGGGCGCTCTCCACGGTCCACGGCAGCGCTAATCGTGCGCCCTATCCGGACGAAATTGACAGCGCGAAGACGCGTGCGCCGCCCATAGTCTCTATTTCTGTCCGCGGCCGCGTTGCCCTGATTTCACTAAAATTACGATCGGTTGCTATTTCCGCACCGACTCGTTGCGCCCTCTTGCCACCTAGCCACTGCCGAGCGTCTCGCGAATTAGTTTCTATTAGATATACTCCTAACTCCATGAAATGCCAACGCGATCTCCAGTTAAGAGCTATAATTATCGTAACCGATATACGATAACAAAACTAGTACTTTATAGCTCATTAGTTTTAATCGCGATATAAGGGCAACTCTCCATAGAGCTATTGAAACGTTTTATCATGGTTTTATTTAATAGGTAATTTTTTCAAGTATTATAATGGCTATGAATAGACAGGTGACTTCATAGCTGGTTTTCCTTAAACATATTGAGTAATTAAGGAGCACCAGCCGAAGCATTTATATTCAAAAAGATAGGTATATTCCCCTAGTTCTTGCAGTTTCCTCTTCCATCACGTAGCGCCATCTATGGAAAGCACGAAGGATGTACAGCAGCTGGCCTGTCATTTTTAATTGTCATGTAAATCAAAGTAATCGAATTCTAAATTTAAATTTTGTAGTTTTTGTGGTAAAATGTAAACAAATAAATGTCAAACAATTGACATATTGTTATTGAAGTTGATAGAAAGGAATACGATATGGAAATACTGCGGAAATATAAACAAAATGGATATTTTACACCGGAATTGTTTCATTTACTTGATAAGAAAAGAGTTGTGGATGGTACAGAAGAAGTATGTTTATTATTTACGAATATATTTTTAACTTATCAAGTGTTATTCTAAGAAAAAGATGAAAAACATAGAATATCTGAGTGGTGGAGGATTTTTGAAACACTTGCTATATTGTACATAATATATTTTGAAAACAGTATACAATATTATTATTGACCACTCGTTATTATTATTTTTTAGATCATACCATCTGCGTACGAAAGAGAAATGCGGATGAGCACATCTGAACGATTGCAAACTTTAAATAGTATTTTGATAGACAATATTATTATTACTGAAAACGATACGAAAATACGCCAACACGTTATATTGTCATTCACACCAAAAATAATAATATTCCAAAATTATAAACCGAACGAAAAAGTAATTGCTAAATTCCTAGTCAAGAATATTAGCACTGTAAGTATTTACAAAAATGTTTTAAAACTTATAAACGGAATACAAAAATGTATGAAGTATTTAATGTAATCTTACAGACTCCTACTTACCTGAAAATGGTGTTTAAAGAATCTTCTTATTTCTCCGTAAAACTGAATCGAGACCAGCCTGTATCCAGATTAGCTCCCGGCATGAACATTGCTTATGTTGTCACATTTGTACCCACACAAATGGAGGACTACGTTCATAGAGTTGTGTTTTACACCGATCGGGATCAATATGTTTTACCCATAATAGGTTTGTACATACTTATATGTTTTATAGAAAAGTTTTATTAACCCTGAGGAAAAGCTTGAATACTCTTCGTGATAGCGGCTTAACCAATGCTCCTATTTAAATTGCTTAGCATATTAAATTGCTTCGCTAAAACTCACATAGTAGTTAGGAAGAAAATCAGATACAGTGTCGGTGGACTGGCGCAACACTAGCCTTACTAAAACGTCCCCTCACTAATCATTCTGACACTTGACTTTGTAACGAAAGCGCGCCATTTGCGCCAAACGATTCTAACTAATAATGTCTATAACGAATAAAATGTATATAACGAATAAAGTCAAAAACAACTGGGCCGATTTCAAAAATTCTTTTGCCATTTTCAGGTATTGGTCCTAAGCCTATACTTAATTTACCGGACAACTTAGTGCTCCCTAAGGCTCCTTTGAAGGTGGAGAGTAGTTATTTACTAACAATCTGTAACATTGGTGCGGTACCTGCCGGATTTACGTTAGAAGCTAAATGGTACGTTAACGTTGCTATGACCAAAAACTCTGTTTATATCGAAATATAATATGAAAATGTATTAAAAGTACTAATATCAGTATGCAAAATAAATTATTTTATAATATACGATTAAAAAAAATTACAAGCTAAACCGCATAATTTATTAAATAACGTTCTCTACTAAAAACTAATTAACGTTCGTTCCAGTCCTTTTTCTGTAGAACCGAAATCAGCATATCTAAATTGTGACGAGAAAATTGAAATTAAAGTTACATTTAAAACTATGCACTTGGGAAAAGTTGAAGGCACATTGCGAGTTATGTTTGAAACAGGTAATAATTGAATTTAACTTTTTAAATGAACAGTATTAATTGTTAATATTGCTCTGTAGCAGCGTTAAGGTAGGGCGAGGTGGGGCTACCGCCCAGGGCGCCTGACAGAAGGGGGCGCCGCAAGCGCCAGAATCAATTATAAAGGGGCGCCTGTATCGCCCGGGGCGTCGGAAAAGCTTAAACCGGTCCTAATGTTGTTTGTTTTAGGAGAAATTTTTAAAATAGCATTATCGGGTACAGCGCACACTGTTAACGTACTATTAGAAAAGCAAATTGTTAGATTTCCCGATACATATAACGGTATGGTGCGACAACAAACATTCAAAATTACCAACAAATCTGACTACGTTCTTACTTACGTCTGCATGAAGAATGAATCTGTCTACTATGGTACGTTTGTATATGTTTTTGTATACAATAACTTCGTAACAAACATAACGTGAAGGGTTACTAGTACTTGTAGTTTGAAGCATTTTACGAAGAAACATTATAGATAGAATATAAAAAGCGTAAGTACTATACTTTATATGGATTTTCTTAGACTTTGTATTTTGTCAATAAATTAATTTTGTTCGATTAATGTAACATTTTACTTTTTAGATTTCAAAGACAAAATCAAACTTGCGACTGTGTTTTACAATATGAAGGAGAGTGAGGCCGCTAAATGTGCGAAGTTAGTTCGCTACGACGTCCTGAGCAGCACAGAGCATGACAGAGTTTACACTAGAATATTCTATGATGAGATACAAGCTCTTGTTGCGGATGAAACTTTATTATTTCAGAATACACATTTCTCAATGTCTCCTATCGTATGTACTGTTTTTAATATCATTATCACCATCTCAACATCTTTATGTGTCACCGAAACCAAGTGTTCCTAAATCTATACATACATATATAAAAGAAAGTCGTGTTAGTTACTCTATTTATAACTCAAGAAGGGCTTTATCGATATGATTGAAAATTGGTGAGGAGGTAGCTTAGAGCCAGGAGACGGACATAGGATACTATATATTCTTTTTTTTATTTTTTTTTCCAAAATGTGACTTAAAGAGCAGCTCTTTTATTTAACTTACTAATATTATAAATGCGAATGTTTAGATGGATGTGATGTGAATGGATGGATGGGAGGGTTACACTAATGAACTTTTTTTATATATAATATATCCACGCGGACGGAGTCGAGGGCGACAGCTAGTTTAATATATTTTTATATCATAAATTGAGATGTAAATAATACTTGTTTCATGTTACAGAAAGGTCAGCTATGGCCAAATAAAACTACAGAAATAGATATAACATTCGCTCCCAAACATATAGGAGACCTAGATGCGTTAGTATATCTAGATATAGATGGCGTTAGTGATCGAGTTATGTTGAAGTTAACCGGCACGTCGCTGCCGCCCACGATACATCTGAATCTCGAAACACTCGATATGAGTTCTGTTTATATTAATATACTGTATAACTACGAAATAATTGCTATAAATAAAGGTTAGTTTTATATAGTAATATTAAAATTTATTGCCATAAAAATCAATGCAGCCAGCACCTCACGTCTTTTATGCCACTAATTCATCAAGTAATATTTATTACAATTTGTTCCAATTTTAAAGTATCGCCGTAACCTTTATTTTTCTACCTAAATTGACAAAACAATTATTGTTACTAAATCTACATTTTAGTAGTAAAATGTTTTATAACATATTTATTTTTTTAGGTCATATAAACGGCGTTATTGCATACAAAGATGTGGTAACACTCTTCGGCAGTAAAATAACATGTACTCCGGAGTATCGATGTTTGAGACCGGGTGAAAAGGACATTTTCGTCGTTTCATTCTTTAATTCTAACCCTGGACCTTTTTTTGAAGAGATTAATTTTGTCATACGCGACACAGATGTAAAGCTTAAAGTTTACCTAAAGTAAGAGACAGTCTTTAATTATTTTAATATATAATGTTTTAATATTTAATATATGCTAAACCTACACTATCTGCCGCCATTAAGACTTACTAAATCGTGACTCAAGGACACTCTTCGTGCAGAATTAGTGTGAATTATCTATATCAATCAATAATTGTCGTTTTAGTGCAATCATTAAGAGTGAATTTGACGGTTAAAAAACTTAAAATCCTAATATAATATTTTGTAGAATTCTTTAGTGTCTTGGTAGTTTATTGTTGTATTTACTCCTAAGAATATTTACCTTGATTTAACATGACTAACATTTTACAGAGGCACTGTAATCTATCCGTCAATAAAATTCAGTGTACCATCATTGGATTTTGGTGATGTCAGCTTAGGTAAAGTATCATATTCAAACAAAAGTATATAAACAATATTGATTTTGTCTTTTTTATATTTTTATTTTATTTCAGGTGTTCCAAAAACTCTATCATTGGACATAATAAATGAATCCAACGTACTTGTCTCTGGTACCGTTTCTATACCGTCAGACGGCTTGGAAATTAGGAGCATTACTTTGACAGATTACGCTGTAAATGACATCCCCAAACCGGAGTTGCCAACAACGCCGCAAGAATTTAAAATCGAACCTAGGAAAATAATAATTGACCCTGAATCTATTTTTACAGTCAAGGTTTGATATTTAATATTTATATAAGCGACTTCGATTAAAACGCTTAATCAATAATATATTATTGGTTACAAATACTGACGATTTTTACGACAAAATATTTCCGGTTTTCGCTATGTTATTATATCCCATATTCTATCAATTACAGATAAACTAAGTTTGTGCAACTGCTTCGTGATTGTCAATGAATTTTTGATTATCATTTTAGATTACTTTGACAGCAAATTTGATAAGAATCAATAACACATCATTTGAGTTGGAGTTTGAGAAGTCAGACAAAAGACCGATAGTGTTGCCAGTGACGTATAATGCTATGGTACCACAGATTACACCAGCGCCAGATTTACACTTGAGAGCATGTTTCAGGGGTTTCCCATATGTTAATGATGTAAACATACAGTCTAACAATTTTCTGGGCTACTTTGTTGTGGAAGAACCCGAGGTAAGAAATTATGTGAGTTTCGAAACTAGTAATCTAGTTATGTCAGTTTTAATAAAAGGGAGAATATGAGATAAGACAATGTGTTTTTGGACGAATTTTGAGGGAAAAAAACTAAGTTTTAAGATTTAAATACTTTTTTCAACCGTTTATCTATTGTTAGTTGATGAGAATAATTTGTAAATATTGGAAACCTTACATTATAAAATTTACTTAGTTACAATGTATTACTTTTATGTTTCTAGGAATCAATATTTGACGTTAAAATTGATTTAAAGGAAGGTTACATAGAACCGATCAGCACAACATGTTTTAAGCTTACGACAACGGCTACTGCCCTCGGATCCCATGAATTTCCTCTGCGGTTTGTTCGTTTGCTATTTTTACTGCAATAGTTGAGTCATTTGCAGTTAACCCATTTAACACGTATCTTTAAAAATACACCATAAAACATAACGAAAAGAGGTCTAGGTGGAATAGTTTTAACTATGTTGCGTTAATAGATTTGTTTTTGGAGTTATTATTTGTTGAAAGTCTGTTTTTTTTTATAATAATATCGACTTTTTATTATTAAACTGTATTGAAATTTTAAATTGAGATACCTATGTATTATTTTTATAAGACTAAATTATTGTATTGGTAAAACTTGGTTTAATCTGAAAATAAATAATTATTTTTGGCAGGTTACGTCTTTTCGGTGTACCAGACCCGATTCAAATATGTTATGTATCGGGTTACGGCGTCAGTCCGATAGTAACTTGCAGTCCGACATTCCTTCACTGGGGCCAAGTGAAACTGCTTAAGAAATCACAAAAAACTTTAATTCTTTGCAACGATTCCCCAGTTGAAGTAAATTATAAGACATCTTGGGTACGTAAGCTTAAACTTAAAGAGTAACTGAACAGTAAATCTGTGTGTAATATTCTTAAACCTCCAATAAATACAAAATTGATGACCTATTAGTGGCAATAACTTAAAATCTATGTATTTATACATAATGAGTATATAGTAAAGTTTTGAACGAATTTTTGTGGTATACGATTTTCGGTTTAATATTAAAACTGTATTCTAGTTTAATCGCGAGTGTAAATGGCAAATTGAACCTGAAGAGGGTGTTGTAGAGGCGGAATCAGAAATAAATCTGACAGTTAGTTTGACTCTGGTTGACGCTGAGACCTATAACAATAAAGTTGTTATACAATTGGAAGATATGAAAGATATCGTGAGTAATGAGCATTTACCATTTGCTATGTTTAAAATATGTAAATAATTAGGAGTAAGCAGTTTTAGCCTTTTTTTACCCCGAACCTAAAAAGAGCGAGGGTAGAATAACTAACTTTTGTCAAACCTTTAAATCTAAGCATGTAAAAATGTACCAACTCGCACTAGGCCAGCGTGGTTGCCCCTCAGTCAGGATGTACATATGTATAGTGAGCTGACGATGATGTAAAAATTTGTAATTTCGCATACTCCGTTTCTATAAATCTACGTAGTTCATACAGCATGTTTGTATATTAAATAAAATCATTAGGATTAAACTCATGAAGATCGTTTCAGTTGGTTCCAGTTACAGTAACGGGAGTGGGTACGAGCATAGTGATAGGAGATTTGGGAGACAGGATTGAGCTCGGTCATCATTTCACACGAATTCCGTTGAATTGTAAAATAATGATGGAAAATCGAGGCACACGCCTACACGCGTTGGAGTGGAGCGAACATTACAAGACGCCGAAAAACAAACAGCAGGCTGTGTATGTATCAAATATTTTATATAATATGTTATATGCTCTGTGGATATATTATTTTTTTAGCCGACTTCAAAAGGAAGATTGTCAATTCGTCTGTATTTTTTTTTACTTATGTAGGAACTTTGTGTGAGGAAAATTCTTTGTAGGTAGGCAATTGATGAAAATCAGAATCGTAATTGAAAAATATTATTTTTAACTTTTAGAGCATTTTTTAATCTAGAACCCAGGACTTTTAAAATGAATGCTGGTGAACAATTGGACTTGACTATAACTGGTCTTTCGCACAAAGTGACCGTAGTAAAAGAGATATGGTATTTAGTGGGCAGCATCGAGGGTGTTAACAAGAAGGAACTATTGCTTGAATGCAAAATTACAGCAGAGTTTGTTGATCCCAAAATAGAAATATCTACGCCTTCAATGGATTTTCAGTATGATAATGGTCCATATAATGAATATTATAGATTAACAGGTATATAAATGTAAATTGATTTGAAATATTTCATTTAAGTAGTTATTAAAAACTTATTGATAGTTGGCATTGCATCTTAATTTTTGTTGTTACTACCCAAAATGCGACACCAAATAACCTGACAACCATCAGAAACGTTGCAGAAATGGAGGCGATGCGTTGGATTGATTAGATTAATATACTATTAGTTGCAAATTTATTCATGTTTAAATTTACGTGACTTATTCGTTTATAAAATGGACCTATATAATGCAACGACATTATGTATGCTTTTTTCAGACATCCTCATAATAAAAAATGTATCAACACTACCGTTGGATTTAGAGATTACTATAAAACCACCCTTTGCTCTTATACAAAAGCAGAGTTCATATAAAATTATACCAGGCGAGGAAGATTTATGCCATTGTATAACTTATACGGAATCCGATTTAAAATTATGTAAAATCACAGCCGACAATAGTCGAGAAGAAACAGCTAAATTGATAGATTTCTTAACACTGCAACCAGTTTATCCATTACGTCAGGGAAGTTTGCAGTTTTTTGAAGACATACATAAAATAAAACGTATCTTCAACTTGACTCATATCATTGAGGAACATTTGGAGGATCAAGAAATGATGAAAGTACAAGCTTTATTCGATACAACGAAACACACGTCTTTAAAGGCTCGAATTTATAGTGATGCCATCAAAATAAAATTCAAGGGCCACAAAAATAAGGTTAGACTATAGATAGTTGATTTCTAAAATAAAACAAATGAAAAGCACTTGCTTATAACAAAAAATAACTACGAATATCTTTATTTGGGGGAATTCTCGGGTCTTGAACTTGTATTTGAGAATAAGTTATATTAATGTAGGTAAAATGATTACAGGACTCTGTAAAAGTTGTCGGAAAAATAAATTTCCCCAATATACTTGTTCTAACACCGAAAATTGATTTTCAATGTCTACTGAATGACTACATTGAGGGTAAGACAATAAAAATACAAAACGTCACTCCACTGATTGCTTGTTATCAGCTCAGTTGGAAAAAGATCTTAATATCACCGATTGCATCCGTAAGTACTGAAAATATTTTTAATATCATGACTCAATTATTATGTATTTCATAATTCAGGAAAACCAAACTTGTTTTAAAACAATTACTTCACGAGTTCCTAATCAACTGTAAATGCATTTTTAAAAGACCTTTAAATGTAAATTAATAACCATTAAAAAATATATATTTTTTAGACCATGATTCGACCAACTAATTTACGGGAAATTGATGGTATGCCAATAATAACTGAATTAAGCCGTAAGTTTGAAATACATAGATGTACTAGCGGACCCGACAGACGTCCTGTCTACACGTCTTTAATTCGAATATTATTCAAAATTTGACACTGCGATGGTAGCGCCGTCTGTCGGATCCAATGTAAAACATACCAAAATCAACAACTACTAATAAATTAAAAATTAATTAAAAAAACATTGTTCAGCAGATAAAATTGTGAATCTAAACAATTCCCAGATCCCCTTGAACACACACAAAAAATTTCATCAAAATCGGTCCAGTCGTTTGAGAGAAGTTCAATGACATACACACTCACAGAAGAATTATATATATAAAGATGTAGCATTTGTATAATTAAATATTTTATTATAATAATATATTCTGTTATTCCAGCTTCATTATCCAGTGCATACTTACCTTATCAAGCCGAACTACTTTCTTACGAAGTAAATAACACCAATAGTTCAATTGCCACAACAATTCAAACAGAACCAGAACCAAAACTCAATATGAAACTTAAAGATAAACTTATGAAAACAGTTTTACCAATGTTAGACGATCAATTTGAACCGAAGTTTAAATGGCTACATAAATTCCCTGAGACGAATGAAGTAGAAGGTGATCTTGTAAATAGTCTATTGATTTTGATACCACATAGAGGTAAATTGAAGCCGAATGAAGTACAGTATATAAATGTGATGTTCCGACCGAGGATCAACATGAACGCAAGAGCTGTAATAGAATGCCAAGTACTAGGTGGACCAACAGAATACATAACAGTGACAGGACAATCGTCTTATTTAATGTACACTCTGAGTACAACAAAAATAAATATGAAAATAAGATCATTCCATGAAAATGCATTTGAATACTTGCGTATTATAAATAAAGCGCTTTTACCTTTTGAATTTAAAACTTATTTGAATGAACCGAAATTTGAAAATGATTTATACGGTACGATTTTGGACATTGTACCCGCTGATAAATTATTACAATCGGAAGAAACGACCGATATAAAAGTATTCACCAGACCTGGAGTACTGGGATATTTTAAGAGACAGTTTTTATTGGAAATCGGTCATTTACCTGTGATTCCAATAAAAGTTTACGGTTGGGGGGTCATACCGCAAGTTTATTTGACAATTCCGAGACCATTCTTAAGTGAAGTAAGTATTCCAATAAATATAATATAATGTTGTTTATAACAGAATCTAATATTCGAGTGTCACCTCTAATGTTTTAATCATTTTTGGTGTATTAATAATGAAGATTAATTTTTTTTAGGCCGATATGGAGCTAGGATACTTCGCAGTCGCCATGTTGACTGATGCGTATCTTGAATCTCTTAATGCAATGTTTAAGAAGCCTACATCTGAACATTTAAACTCACCATTGATTGAAAGATGTTTTGAAGATCCCATATTTACACAAGACTGGCATTTGTGCTCTACATTGGTTAGTTAAACAAACGTTGAATTGTATTCAGTCTATAATCCGCTTCAGTCGCTATCGCCTCCTAAGTTGGGATTATAACTAAATCTGGATATTTCCAGGACGCTTATCCATCTATAATGGATATAGAAATGGCAATAGAAAGGATATTAGTAATGAATTATCTACGATTGCATCCAGAAATACTCGTTCCGCACTCGTCTTCTAGTAAAACAAGGCCTATCGCGGGTTTTAACACTGTTCCCTACGTAATAGATTACGGTGTAGTTATTACTGGATGTTCGGTGAGTAACATTACGGTAAACAGCATATGACAACCATCTATATCCATTAATTTGATAAAAAATGTAGGTTTTTTATGAATTACATTTCATTACAACATTAGTTAAAAGTAAGTCTTATAATTTTCTATGTTGACTGACAACATAATTCAAGCTTTTATTTGATTTCTTGTATGTAACATTACCAGGTTGATTACACTATTGAAGTATTTAACTACGGACCGTTGGTCACCAAACTGCATTTGAGCAAAAACACTGTTGTGCCAGATTTTTTAATTTTAAAATTATGCGGAAAATTGAGTCCCGGCGAAGTCGGATATATTGATATCACTTTTAACTCTGACAGTGAAAATTTTCCTGAACCGGAACAGAATGTTGAAGTTTCGATTAACTTAGAGGTACCAATATATTACTTAACATTTAATTTGTTTATATAATTCTATTGTAGCGACTAACAATCTAAGATAAAAAGAGTGTTTTTTATATGATTAATTTTGAATTCTTTGCACCAGATTTGGATTCGTTACTAGAACTACAGATACAATAGTTAATATAATTTAAATTGTAGGTACCGTACGGTGTTACAATTCCAGTGAAGTTCAAAGCACTATGCGCAGTTCCTTATTTGGTAACCAGCATTCAATCAATAGATTTTGGTTCCGTTAAATGTGGTCATAAAGTTATTTATTCAATACCTCTGAAAAACGTGTAAGTTGTCATTAATTTATATTTAACTAGCTGTCGCCCGCGACTCCGTCCGCGCGGGATTAAAAATATATGTTGGCCGATTCTCAGACCTACTCAATATGCTCACAAAATTTCATGAGAATCGGTCAAGCCGTTTCGGAGGAGTATGGGAACGAAAATTGTGACACGAGAATTTTATATATAGGATTATCAATTAATACTCCTACACTTATTTAAACTACTCCTAATTGATGGGTTCAGTGAAGAATACTTCCTATTGTACATATATATAAGTACCCTAAACAAATGAATGTGATATAAAGTATGTTCTTGTTTATGACAGAGGGAAGCCTGTATGTATTTGGTACGCTACATTAAAGCTCAAAACCTCCGGCATCAATCCTATAACAATATTAGACAGTTCGGCGAAATACGAACCTGGAGAGAGCGGTTGGTTTAGTATTGCTTTCAAGCCGACAGTGGAGGTTAGTTTCTAAAACGATTTTACTATTGTCTAATACACTAGGTGTCGCCCGCGACTCTGTCTGCGCGGCTTAAAAAATCTTATGTGTCCTTCCAGACTATGTTTTGCATGTATGCTAACTTTCAGCGAAATCCATGCAGCTGTTCTAGATTTCTACCTTCAAACATTCATTCATCCATCTAAACAATCGCATTTATAAGATTATTATATTGTATTGTGTACTTTATAATATTTCAGATGACATTCGAAGGTTTAATAATATTTAGATTCCATATGAATCCAAAACGCATGACGATACCATTCATAGGTAATGGCGTGATGCCGCAAGTCCATGTTATCGGGCCGAGTATAAGTTTTCCACCAACGTTACCGTGGGCTGAAACTACGGAACATTTCTTCGGACTTACAAATCCTTGTCCGTTCCCGATTGAACTTATTATAGCTCATAGCGATACGTGAGTAAATAATATCAGGAATATTTTAGATAATATAGATATGGATGGAGTTTTATAATATTTTTGTAGGAAATGGCGAGAAGAAGAGGAAGTTTATCAGATGTTGGAAAGATATTACAACAAACCGGACGAGATGCTGGTCCCCGCAATGAAACCTGGTGCTGAGCTGCCTTGGGAAATAATTAACTTCTATAAGAAAGTCAAAGAACATGTGAAAAAGTATGTTTAAATTAAACAACAGGATTACGTTTAAATAATTTTTTACATTGTAATTAAATTTTCAGATACCTAGACGAGGAGGCTGCGGGTCCTAAATCGGCCGGAGTCAAAGCAGCTTCGGCTAAGTACATTTTTAATGATTTATTTTTCAATAAAATATCAAACTTTAATATTTCGTGGTCCCATAACGAACATATGTGTACTTATTGACGATACTTATATTTTTCATTTTATTTTCGTACCTATATCATAATTTTTAAATTTTATACATATTTTTCCTTTAGAAAAATTAAAAGTCCCAAAAAAACACCTCGGTCACACGAACCATCCCCAAAACGACAAAGGACCGAAGCTGAAGTGATGGCAGGTTCGTAAACTTACTAGCCTTGTAATCATTAAATTATTTAATTTGGCTATTATGTTACAATTGTTACGATAAAGGGAATTAATCTTATGCTGTTCAAGTATTTTATTTTCAGACGAGCTACGTTTAATGAAAGAAAATAAAATAGATCCATTACAAGAGTGTTTACACGAACAAACTGCAAAGGATACACAAAATGAAAGACAGACTACAGGTCTAATTGTTTTCTTCCACGGATCTCCAGCCGAAGGTGAATTATTGTGATACTGACGTCATAGTGTAACTAAGCGACTTCTAAAGTGACCATTAAATGAGTCTTGAATATGTTAAGATGCTATTATTATAATTTTAGAGGGACAATGTCAAGAAATTGCATATTCAGTGGGAAAACATCTTAAATTACCTACGATAAGTATTGATATGTGTTTTGTTGATGCTCTTTGCATCAGTAATACGTCAGCCAAAGAGATTTTGGTTAAAGTTATTGATGAAATGTATGAGATCTCTAGAATGGGAATGAGGAAAGAAGATGCAGGGGAAACAGAAGTGGACTTGGAAGGTATTAATATATTTTTAATTGTAACATATAAGTACTTGGATCTCATTCAAGTATTTATACTTTCAGTAATTAGATTTTTAGTCTCTGAAATTCTTACGTTTTAATTTAAGTTTTTCGATATTAAGAGATGTAACAATGGTTATACATAGTTGAAACAATTATATAAAATACCTAAGACACACTTTTACGTAGTCATGGCATTGTCAGTTTATTTTTTTTGTTTTAGAATTTTTCGACACTGGTGATGAATTTGAAACGTTATTAAAAAAGCTTGACGTTATAACAAATAGCAAATCAATAGCAACTCCAAAATCAAAAGTCAGCGACAAAAAGAAGAAGAGATCAGCCTCGTCTTTTGTGTCGCAAACTTTACTGGATGCAATGGGATCTACAACTATGTTTAATTTGGTATTACTTGGTTTACTAATTTTATCCTAATTGTTAAATTATAGCTAAGTAAATTTTTGTATTGGCTTTAATCATTTAATTGAGTATATTATTATGTTCAGAAAAAAATATTTCTGTTTATTTAACGTAGCTATGCTTGCCACTTTTCATTTTTATATCTCACTAGCCCACGCCTCTTTCCGCGCGTAATAAAAAACAATTATTAGCCTATGTGTTCATCCAGACTATGTTCTACATCTATGCCAAGTTTCAGCGAGATCCATTAACCCGTTTATATATTAAAAAGCAATTATTTGATTTTTCTCACCTCTTAAACCTACTCTAGACCTCCTCGAACATTTCAAGACCAAAATATGATAAATCCGTTCAGCTGTTCTCGAGTTTTAGCGAGGCTAACGGACACCAATGGATTTAAATGTATATTTCATTTAGTGCTCTAACAAAAGTAAGCCAGGATTTGAAAAGGCTTTTGTATCATAACTTATAATTTTCAGGAATTAATACAAGATCTAATGACTGACTACTTTAATCAGCCTAGATTTAATCGAGGTTTTGTTATTGATTCATTAACAAGTTTCATATTTAAAAGTCCTCCGGTTGTTCTAACGACCGTTCTTAAATGCAAGTCTTCAATAGCGGACATACACTTGGTGCTATGTCACTCTACCTTCACCAAATGGACTCAGCTATTTGAAGAGTCGCAAAAAGAAGAAGATTTATTAGAAGAGTAAGTCCTATCTACTTGTAGAGTACGTAAATATTTTTGCAACTAACCATTATATTGTAGTTTTAGACTAGACTAATGTTAATCGAAATTTCGGTAAACGACACTTCAATGGTCAAACTCAGTCATGGTTTACTTATTGCTATTATAATATATTTAAAAAAAACACGACTAATAACTAATTAACAAAGCAAGGGCGGGCGGCCTTATCGGTATAAGCGATCTCTTCCCGGCAACCTAGTGGAACAGGAGAGAATAACATAGATAGAGGGGTATATGACATATAAATATCAGGAAAAGTCAGAAATAAATAAATAAGAGCAAGAATTAATTATTATTAAGTCTAGATTATAGGAAAGTTTTTCGACCCTGAATTAAAAGGAATTAAATATCGTTTTAGAAATGTACCAAAAGTATATACCGAAGATGAAATAAAAGAAATAGTTGAAGAATTTGAAAATATGAGTTATGAAGAATATGAGTATGCGAGTCCTGTATTAAAATCTGTTTACATTACATATGGCTTAGAAGAGAGACGTAAAAAGTATTTATTAAGAGTAGGGTATGTAAAATTGAAATTTAAACTGCTTAATACAACATATTTGATATCCTGGTCGTCAAACCTTATCAATGTTTATTATAATTTAATTACAGAACCTCTGATGATAATATAAAGAAAGATAAAGATGGAAAGGGTTAGTTTTACTACGTCTTTTTTTTAAACTTATGTTCCTTTTTTAAAAATAATATATTACACAGATCGTAGTGCCAGATCTCTGTTACCTACAGCAAGTGGCGACGAATCAAAAAAGAAAGCAAAAAAGGAAGATGTAAAAGGTAAATACACTTCAAAACAGCTTATAATGTTTACCTTCTATTAAATTATTTGGAACATAAAAAAACAAATATAGTAGATGAGCAAGCGAGCTAGAAAAAATATGTTTTTATGAATGCTAGTGGATTCTGTTCAATTGTTTCAGTAAAACCAAACAGCGAATATATGGCAATGAATGTCAAATACAATGAATATAATAAAAATGTCTACGATAGTTTATTCAATATTGCAAATAACTGGATAGTGGATCAGTGTGACATGGGATATCCACTGATTGGTCTTAACGGACAGGTCGTGCAATCAAGTCAAAAGAAAATAAAAAAGAAATCTGAATTGTTAATACAGGTATTTGAAATCGTATAGGGACAAAAAATAAAGTAGCTTCTGAGAAATAATTGACTATATAATTAGTAATAAATTTCATTCAATAAGTTTACTAGCAAATTTTTTTTTTAGACGTCAGAAGAATCATTCACTGGACGAGGATTTCCATTGACGATTCTAATGTGCCCATGTTCAGAGTCTAAGTTAGCTCTGATTAACATGTTCCTTAATTCCGACACAGTGAAAGAGGCTTTAAAGAAAGAGGAGATGATTGACACTCTTAAATACCCAATTAAGAAAAAGGAATATACAGTTTTACTACCAAAATCTTTTCCGACAATTCACGATGAAGAGTCACTAGCTTGGCGCTATTTAGATGAATTAGCAGTGAGTTACAAAAATGTATATTTTTTTAAAATAATTGTCTAAAAACTAAAGACCCAACTGAGAAGATCACGAAGAATTTAAGTCTTAGTGGTTATATTTCTGGATATTGGGTAACGTATGAAATATAATTATAAGAAATTCCATTTTAATTTCAGATCAAAAAATGTGAATGTAATCTTATCAATGATCTTAGTATAATCGATGATTTATGTCAAGATAATGTTTTAAACATACTATCAAAATGGCACTGCACTTGTGGTAAAAAGGTAAAAAAAAATTCATGATTTTGCGAACAAATGATTCTCGAAATTAATCCAACAACACGGGATTAATTTAAAGTAAAAGATTAAGAAATAAACAAGTCGATTTATAATAACACAGGTGACTTCGTCTCAAACGTCTACAACTGAGATACCGTTTACATCGTCGACACGGATTTCCACCGACAAAAGCGATATAGATGTCTTTTATCCTTTACCTCTGGGAAAAGTTAGATCAACAATTGGTTAGTTTACTATTTATCATATACCTATTCATTTATTAACCTTATTCTTAACATATTACATTTCATATAAAAATAAAAAAATATACAAAATGTATTATATTAAAAATAGAGCACCACCGGCTGCGGAGTCCAATGACTTAAACAACCAGTGGTCCGGGCTGCAGAGACTGGAACCTTCTCACGATGCGTGCGGTTTCTAGTATAACTGCCTTTTGTATTGGGTCCTTAATCCAACTGTTTAGCGACAGCTTCTTGAGATGTTGGTCGAAACTCTTCGCTATCAGTCCATTCACTGATACGACAATGACGATATTTATCATATTTTTTGTTGTCTAAATTAACCTTAAAATTTTCCAATATTGTTTTATGATGTGTATTTATAATTCTCATTAACCAGAGACAAACGTGGCGTCACGAAATTTAATGTCATGCTACGCGATTACTCGTAGTGCTACGCTGATTTAATCTATGCTACGAAATTTAATGCCATGCTACACGACTGTTCTACAAAGTCAACTTAATTCGCGTATGTAGTAACTTACTTATTTTCATTTTAGATCGAGACCATCGCATTATATTGCAACCAGGTGATTTAGTAAGATGTAAATATACCTTTAGCCCAAAGGTTGAAGGTAATTTTAATTTAAAACGATATGTAGAAGTCAAAGGATGGCCGGCTTCCCAAGCTGTGATTACTGTTAGCGGTATTTGTGATGTACCAAGGTCAGTCATAATTATACCAAATTTTAGTTCCTGATCATTCGGAAATAAAACATTGATTTTAAATAATTTTAGTTATCGGTATTTATCCTTAACATATTTTTGGTGTATATTTTAATTGACAGATTGGACAGCCGCCCGAAAAAAATGTTCAAAGATTTTGTCAGAAGAACAGTGGAAGATAAGATATATAAAGTAACATATTTAGATGATGCTAAAGTATTTCAATTTGGTCCGATCTTCACAGGCAATCATCGGTTAATATTTAGTATTATGTTGCGGTTTTGTATACCCTAAGTAATAACTTACCTCGATACCTTTTTGCTATTTAGAATATATGAAGAGACGTATTCAATTGATTTGAAGAATTCTTCCTTGATCACCGCTTATGTTGAGGTGGAATTTTTGGGTGAAACTGATGTTTTCCTCTTTGACCAACGCCGTTTAACATTAGAGGTAACACAATTTATTAGAATACAAAGTACAGTTTTCTTAGCTACGTATTTCGTAGCAAGCAAAAACGATGTGTTTTTCTTTAGCCGGAAAGTCGAGGAAAATTAACAATATCAGCTGCGCCTGCGGAGGTGGGAGAACACAAGAACGTTCTCATGTTTTGTGTCAAGAATAATCCGGAGATTGTCACAGTGAACATAGCTTGTAGCGGAGTTGTGCCGATAGTTGAAGTATTGCCAAGTACCAAAATTATTGGTATGTTTTTAAGTCTCTTTGAACAACGATTATTTTCTTTGGTAGAAAAGATCGTTTGTTAGATCTTATGTGAAATTTCTCGGTTGATCTCGTTAAACCGCTATGTATAGTTGTGTTCAATGATAACCGCTTGGATAAACAAATAACCGACAGTATTAGCATTATCTGTTTGTAATACTGACTAATAACATTATACATTTACTATAATTAAACTTCGCAGATTACGGTAAACATTTACTTTACCGTCGCAAAGATGACAGATTTATCGTCAAAAACGATTCCATTTTACCAGTAAAATGGAAAATAAGAAACGCTGACGATTTCCTGGAAGATTTTATAATATCACAAACGTCTGGTATCATACCTAGATATGACAATCAAGTAGTACCCGTAACTTACATAGCTTGCCGAGTTGGAGTCATAACACACAAGATGTTGACTGTTGATGTAAGTAATCAAATAGTAATGACAAAATCGCATACAGTGAATTATAGTAAGAAGGTACTATTTAAAACACTTTATATTTCTTCAGATATATGACGCAGAAGGGCGAGGTGACCCAATGATCGTGGATTCCTTATATCTTTCGGCCGAATGCTATGATGTGATGGTAGACTGCGCTTACGAAAATGTAGCAGAAAGCTTTCTCAACTTTGGAAATGTTAAAGTCAATTCGACAGTTGCACGTGAAATGTATCTTTTCAACCGCGGGAAATATAATATTTTTTACAAGTAAGTCGCAATAGCGAGATAAAGTCTGCCATTATTATGAAGACACCAAATTGTGTGATATATGTTGTAATAATGGTAACGATGATGAAAATTATAACAAAGTCTATTACATTTTGAAGGTTGAAGAAAGTAAAGAATTTCCCAGAACCAGCTCTATTGAAGTCTTTTGAAGTTAATCCAGAAAGTGGAATGTTGCCCGCTACAACGAAACTGGTTACTGTAGAATTTGAATGCACGCCAACCACTTCTTTAAATTTGGTTAACGTTCCCGTCTACACTTGTACATTGTTAGATGGTAGCAAAACTCAAATGATTGTCGCTAAATTCCCTATCTGTGTTACAATCGCATCGTTTTATAACACGTAAGCAATATGACTAAAGATATTTGAACAAATTTATGGAAATGTTTGTTATTTCAACTGGCACTTATTGTTTACAGTTTTACCCTTTTTCCATTGGGTGAATTGAATTTCCATGTTCTGCCAGTTGGGGAAGGTGTAAAAAGAGACGTCATTCTCAACAATACCAGTAAATGCCCATTCATTTATGAAATTATTTTGCCGCCTGAATATCAAGTGGATCCCGATTCTGCAGTACAGCCAAAATTAAAAGATAACAAGTACGTCTAAATAATTCAAATATCCACTCATCTGTTAATTCAACAGATTAATTACAAAAATTTTCTTCACAGAATAAAAAATCCACCTCTGAGATGCGGAAACTTTGTAATAATGAATGAAGACAATCTCCTCGCTCCTTCCACGAGTAGAGTTATTCAAATACAGTTTTTAGCGACAGCGCCAAAGAAATTTGAAGAAACAATACATTTCGTTGTCAGCGATACTTGCCCTGCGGAAGCTGATGGAGTTCCGTTAAGATTAGTTGGAACTGGAGCTCTACCTATACTTGACTTTTGGAATTTGGAAACTACATTTAGAGAACATATGATTGTTAAAAATCTATCAGATTATCCCGTCCCAGAGGTAATAATAGAGTCGTAATTTCTATAAATTCTGAAACTGTTGACTAATATTATTATTATTTTTCAGTCGTCACCACATTGTGTTTTTGTTGAAGACATTGTGACATTATATTTCTATGGCGTTGTCGTGAACACAAGTCACACGGGAGCGCTAGATTTGTACAACAGTGGCTTAGTGCCTTGCGCTTTAACTATGAAATTACATTATCAAAAGAATACCAACCAAGAAATATTTTACTTAGACAAATATGAAACTCATATTGAACCATTGATGCACAAAAAACTGAACATTATATTCAATCCGAAAGCTTTAGAGGTAATAATTACCAGTATAAATTATTTGAATTTAAATTGTAGTAGAAAGTTAGGTAGTATAGTTAATACTGTTAGGAAGAAAATCCGAAAATGTACCAGTGTATTGACTCAACACTAGCCTTAGTAAAATGTCGACGTTTGTGTTCCCCCTCACTATTCATTCTGACACTGCACTTTGTAACGGAAGCAAGTCATTCGCGCCAAGTACTAATTTTATTACATTTTTATTTGTATAGGATTATAGAGCAGTGTTAGAAGTAAATTTAAAGAAGTTGGAGGGCCAAAATCAAAGCTTTAGAATATGCGTAATCGGAGAAGGTGTTATACCAAGAATACAACTAGTGACCCCCAAAGTAAAAAGTAATAGATTTACAATGCTGCAGTTTCCAGTTACATGCTTGGGTTCTGTCACATGTCGGCATGTATCATTCAAAAATATAAGTCCTGTGAATGCCACAGTTATTGCTGATATTATATCGTCAATTGATGAAGGGCGGCCATTGTTTTGGCTTACAGCGGCGCCTGATACACATTTTGTAGTCCTCGATGGAAACAATGGTAACTTGCAATTTTAAAGTCAAAATTATATACAAAGTAGATGTCACCCGCGACTCCGATAGAGCGGAATAAAAAAAACTTAATCAGAGTCTATGTGTTCTTGCAGACTATGTTATACATGTGTGCCTCATTTCATCAAAATTCGTTCAACCGTTCCGGAGATACCTCCAAACAAACATCCATTTATCGAAACTTTCGCATTTATAATATTATTAGTAAGATTTAAATATCTTAATACTGTGATGTAATATTTATTACAGATAATGTGAATGTCAGTTTAAAAATAAAAATAAAACCGAACGAAATTGTAACACTTTACGTGCATTTCAGTCCGTTACAAAAAGGGAGAACGCATTGTGATATCGTACTTTCCGTTGTTAATAATCCATTTGAAAAATATACGGTAATAATTTAAATATATGACAAATAAAATAGAACATATTCAATAATTTATTATTATTGAATGATGTATGTATGATTGTATGATATAAATTGAATGTTGTACCAATAGATATTATGTGAAGCCGAAGCATTCATGGAAGACGTTATACTAATGGGACTCGAAATGCTTTCGATGGACATCGACCTAGAGACATATAAATGTTCAGAAAGGTATAGCAGAAATTTTACACAGTAAAATAAAATTTAGGAGAATATAAATTCCATTTTTTTTCCAGATCAACAGTATCCACAACAGATACGAGACGACGAAGCAAATCTTCGTCAGACAAAAAGAAATTGAAATTTACCGATTCAAAGAAAAGTAAAAAAGTTTCTCAAGCATCCATAAAACATAGTGAAACTGATTCTTTTGCTGAAACTCCCGTTCTTAAATATCTTTTGGACTTAGGTATAATTTTTTAAAATTAAATTGCTTAAGGTATTTAAATTGTAATAAAAAAATTGTATCGTTTAAAATTAGGTGGCTGTCAATTATGTTTTACACAAAAGAGGTCAATAATAATGGCGAACAATTCCGAAAAGGTGTATAAATTTATTTGGGTCGATTGCGACTATGTTATTGTAAGGCCGTCTACGGGATATATTTCTCCAGGTGAAGAGAAAGACTTGGAAGTTATTTTCTATTCCTCTCAACCGATTGATCTTGAAAAGGTAACTAGTTTAATTATTAAATTATTCAAACTTTCGTGAGATGAAAGAAGTCCCACTCACAATGATTAAGGGCTCTCGATGGTCTCGAAATTAGTCCGTGCCACCACAGAACGAACATACGTGAGTGTTTAGTCCTTTTTATATAAGTTTAATTTAATTATTTTTAACGTGGATTATGGCTTTATGTTACCTTTCATCATGTTACTGCAAATTTCAGGAGATTGTGACTTGTTCGTTATCCGTAGTTAGTGATGATTCTCTGACGGCTGATTTGAGAGAAATAACATGGGATAATAGACAAACTATGACGTTATTTAATCGTAACAGGTAAAAATGGAATTATTTCCCTTTAGCAAAGAAAATAAAAGTAATACAAAAATATTTATAGTACGAAACCTTCATAATGTGATACTTTTTTAGAGATGCGCAAATAAATGAACGATGTGATACAATAATAGAAGACCAAACGTCTTCAATAGCAAATGAATTAAGCGGAAACATAACAATAGTTATTATTTATTCAGTCAAAACTGAATACACAAAATATAAATGTGATTTAGAAGAAGAAAAAACTTTACAAGACACTTTTATTTATCAGGTAAATAATTCGGGTTTGTTCTATAATATTTTGTTTCATTTTTATTTGTATTTCAAATTTAATTTTTATTTAATTTGATTTGTAGAAAAGAGGTTTTGATTTCATTGTGAAAAATATAGGAAGAGTGGCTATGAAAATTTTATGGAATTTCATTGTTGACGATGAATTTCCTGTTAGAATTAAAAAGTCAGCCTTGAGGGTAGGTACATATCTAAATATACCTTTGTGGTTAAAAAAATGTAATTATTATAGTATATTAAACAAAATACTTTTGCATAGGATGCTCCGACAGGATCTTCTGAAAGTTTACACAGAACCAATGATACAGACACAGGTGTTGTAGAAAGAGTTATCGAACATATTAATAATGGTAATTATTCATTCTAGGATACATTTCATACAATATTTAAATTTATTTTCCGTAAATAAATTTTCATTCCTCTAACAGATCCTAGCAAGATGACATTATTTAGCGGCAGTTTAAGCAGGGACAGTGTGGATACTTGGTTCGAAGTTGATTTACCGTTCCACATAGAACCTGAGAAAGCGTGTTTGAATCCTAACGAAAGTCAAATCTTTAAAGTAACTTTTTCACCGCAAGATGCTTTCTTGTTTAAAGTTAGATTACAAAGCACTATAGGTAAGTAGAATAATACATTTTGCAGTAACATACCGAAGTAGGGTATTATAATTCAGAGTTAAATTCCAGATAATTTAGATCCATACGATCAAAACATAACCTGCAAAATGACAGCTAGATCTTTTATCCCTTACGTACATCTGGATATTGAAGAAAGTGATTATTTAACATCGGGAAAAAGAAAGGCGACAGGAGCGTTACCCCCGAATACAATGGTGTTAGAATTTAAAGTCCTTGGACCTGGATGCTATAAAAAGTAAAGATTTATTTTTATTTTGACTATTTTTAACATAGCAAACTCCAGTTATTTGTGAGGTATTATGTATCAAAGCTACTATTTTTTTCTCATCACCTTTTTCACTCCATTTTTTTATAGTTTTATTTTCCTTACAGATCGTTTAGTGTAATTAATCCTACAAGTCAATCTTATGAATTCATATTCGAAGTGGTGATGTCGGAGGCGCAAGAGTTTGTTCCTGTCCATTGCAATAAATTAAAAGGTTATGTGGAAGGCGGTACATCTACTGACGTTGTATTTTCATTTTCACCGCCAGCACCCGGGGTATTAACAAAATTACACATTTATGTTAACCTTTATTACGAAGAATTAGAAGAAACGTTTAAAATATTGAAAATTTTAACTTTTTTCATAATTTCAGATTTACGAATCTCAATGGAAATTTTTAATTCCTATGCATTCGCTTGTTATAAATTTACTAGTTGTAGGTTTTGTAAGGGAATCGAACGTGGTCTTTGTACCGACGATTTTATTAATAAGAAATTCTCTGGTTGGATTTACAAGTGAGAATGTGGTGAAATTGAAGAATAACGAGGACGAATGTTTAACATTCGAATTTAAAGGGAATTCGCTATGTGATGAGTCAGGAGAAACTCCTGTGGTGATAATGCCTGAACGTGGAATATTAAAACCACACTCCGAAACCCCAATCAAGTAAATATAAACTAACTACTGAATCTAAAAGTATTTAATATTAATCCTCATAATTTTGCTCAGTTATACCTCAGAATGTTTTAAATTCAAATACCATTTTAGATTTACGATTGGGCCCTCCTCCTAAGTTTTATAGATTTCTTTTTCCTCATCTATCTACTTATTAACGATCTGTTCTTTACTTTTAACTGTGACAAAGTTGATAATATCGGGTTTTTGTAATGTTTTCAGTATAATTTATACTCCAATATACGATGGTCCGTTATCCTTCAAGATTTTCTGCAGCGTTAAACATCTGACAAAAGTGTTAACGTTGTGTGTCAATGCTCTAAGCTATTCTATAAAGCCTATAGTTACTTATTATCTTATTGGTAATGAACACACACTTAAAAGTGAAGCTGTTACGAATATTCATTTGGATAAGGTATGTATAATAATCGACTTATGGATCTCTCTACTAGCTGTCGCCTGCGACTCGAATTAGAAACAAACTTAATAAGAAGCCTATGTGTTCTTCCAGACTATATTCTATATATATGCCATATTTCAACAATATCCATGCAGCCGTTTGTTGTTTTAAACATTCGTATTTATAATATTAATAAGATATTTACACACGCTTAAACATATACCAAGATTATAATCATCGCTTTCCACTAATTTCTTCCTTCCTGTTCGTTATTTGGATGTTCTAGATATGTTCTTTATCTTTTTAACTGTATTATAGACTGCATCAACCTATGAAAGAACAGTTCCGTTTATAATAAAGAACGATGGTTCTGCAACGTTTTTCTTCGAGTGGCATTACTCTAGTACACCCGTTAAGAAGTATTTAAAAGTGGACATAGAACCGAACATCGGTCACGTCGCGCCAGGAAACCAAATTGAGTGCATTCTGCATTTTAATCTTAAACAAGTGCCTGTGCATGCTTTCCCTGTTACATTGTCTGTAAGTTTTTGACCATTAGTTGACATATGTTGGTACCTTTTATAGGTTATATTTGTAATTATCGTATTTGTACTTAAATAAATAATTCGATATGATATTTAATAGATTAATGAACAGTATTTTTATTAACAAATTCTAAAAAAGTAATTGTTGTAGATAATTCGAGAAGAGCTCATGTAAAGTTTAAAAAAATAAAGAAAACATTCGTCGATTTGTAATATTATTTGAGTTTTAGGTGAAATTTTTCCTCGTTTTTCAGATAGTAGACGGTCCTGAATACGAAATTTATCTTCATGCGGAAATTGAAAAGCCTAAATATAATTTCTCGTGTATGGAATTTGACTTTGGAAAATGTATTGTAAATGCCCCGGAGACTACGTATAGAAAAAATATTGCTTTTGAAAATTCTGATGAAGTACCTTTAATGTATGATATTAATAATTGATTTACAAACGTTTGTCGTGTCTATTTACAAAATGATATCAACTAGTACTTATTTTTCTTGTAGTGTTGACCTAAACTTTTCCAACTTACCGGAGCTGTATGTGCAGTACAACAAAGAGTATGCAGTAGAGCCGAAAGAACGTATGAAAATATCAATTTACTTCCGCCCTAGAGAAGTGAAAATGTATGAATTCAAGTTACAATTCTGGGTGAATACGTTATGTGAAGAAATTGTTACTGTTAGAGGAGAAGGTAGTTTGATAAAAAAATATGGACTGTCTAAAAAAATCATGTAAAAAATTGTTCTAATATTTTATGTATTTAAAATTGTTTTCTCTGATGATTCAGGCGTACCACTGTTGTTTGATTTATACGATGGCTGCCAGAAAAGCTTTGATTTGGGTCCTGTTAAAGTTGGTGATAAAATAGTGCGTCAAATAGAAGTAATGAATCATAGCAAAGTGCCGATAGATGCGAGCTTCTCTTTCAAAGACACGTACGCTTTAGTCGACGATACAAATAAGTCTGAAGCAACAAGCATTTGTTTAGGATTCAGAGCCAGTGTTCAAGGAAGTGATCCTGGACATGACAGGTTTGGGGCATTTTTTTTTCGTTAATTAGAGGTTGTGAAGTAACATCTTGAGAATTCTGTAAGTCATATAATATTTCTTGATATTTATGGTCATAGGGATGAAATGCTAAAAGCCTATAAGGAGGATAAAATTCAAGAGCAAATAGCTTTAGATGTACAGAACGCACTTTCATCATTGAAAGTTATACCAAATAAGTGCACCATACAACCTTACCACAAGGTTCCTTTGAAGATACAATTCAAGCCTGTTGGCATTATGACTAAATTAAACGTTCAGGTATTTTGTTATTCTCTATATATTATGTTACTAAATTTTTAAATTATAATCTGTATTTGCTGACGCTTTGTTTCCAGTTAATGATGAAAGTGTTTCATTTCGAACGTCCTTTGGTACAACTGAGCGGTAGTGCGACAGGCATGAGTCTTTGCCTCAGTCAGAACTCATTACAATTCGGCCGCGTTCGCAAACGAGGCTGCAAGATATTAAAAGTCATGTTACAGAATAAAGGAGATTTTAGCGCTCGGTAAGATCCGTCGAAGTTTTAATTTGTTCTTGAGGTAATTTAATTTCGAGTAAGTTATAAATTCAAAAGAATTGTATTATGAATTGAATAATAAAACCTATTATATAATGTTAGGTTCTGGTGGCAGCCACTGAAAACAGCCGAATTCACGATATCTCCCATCGAAGGTAACATTGCCGCGCGGACTGATGTTACCTTTACCGTTACCTTCAGGCCGGCAAACAATAATCCCTTTATTAAAGTTTGGGTAAGATTTTCTAATTAATTATATTATTTACACTTATTAAATCATTTTTGGCTTTTAGTTTTTAACGAATACATTGCAAATTAGATCTGGGATTTTAGGTTTTTAAATTTTTATGAACTGTTTGTACCGTGCAAGACGTTCAAATTGTAGTATAAGCCGTCTGATTACTAAATTGTTCCAAGTTTTAATTCTCTAGTTGTAATACAACACACAATGTATAATACAAAATTCTATCATCTATAAAGTTTCAGTATTTTTAATCTTTATGAAATGTTCAGGCCAGTTGTAATATTGAAAATTATAAGCCTTTAGAACTGGCTCTGTACGCGACGTGTATTGACGCTGGCGCCGTGCAGAATAAAACTATCATTATGGAATGTCCCGTTCGAGAAATACAGACCGAACATCTTGTGGTCACTAACCCGTAAGTTTATTATATTAGTATTGTTGATATATCATTTATAAATAGTCCAACTTTTAGGGTCACTGCACATGGGTCATGCGCAACAGCCTAAAACGCCACTACAAGAAACATGCAGCGACGATTTATGTCCATATAAATTGTATGAAAATGATATAAAATATGCAGGTGGTGGTTTTTTGAAGCTGTCGCGTGTGGCTAATGCGCAGAGACCCTTACGAATTTAATACAAGCCGTCGGCCGCGGCTCCGTCCGAACGTAATGAAAAAAAGACAATTAGTCTATCTGTCCTTGAAGACTATATTCTAGAGATATCTTCAAACAAACATCCATCCAACCATCTATCCGTTGAAACATTCATATTTATAATATTAGTAAGATTAAAATGAATGTAAGTTCGACTACTCTGTAACGATTGAGATACTTAATGAAACGGACAACTGTATAGTCTAGTGAATAAGTCGCATGTAAAATCTGTTTTTGTACATATCGAAGTTTTAACATTTCTGTTGATGTTTAGAACGGATGAAATGTGGCTGGTATTGTCGGAGGTGACGGGGGATGCATTTACCACCCTCAAAGAGTTTAATATTGAAGCTAACACGACATTCGATATACCAATTTACTTCAAGCCCAAATATTTCGGTAAACATGAGGTAAATGTTGAATATTTATTTAAATTACCTACTCGACCTTATGGGATATTATGCCCATAATTTCCATATTACGAGACGTTGCAATTTATATTTTATCTTTATATACGAATCCTGCAGGGTCAAGTGTTGTACTCACCTCTTGGAGAGAGCGCTCTCTTTATCAATCTTATCGGTATCGCCACACACCCGAACTCCAACGGGAATCTATCCCTTATTGTCAAAGAAAAGGACGTGCATACTGAAGAATTGTTAGTTTATAATATAACAGAGGTAAGTTGAAATTTAGCTATTGTTTTGAGTGTAATAAAATCGGTTCAGAAGTTAAAATTTACACAAAAAAATGTACAATCTTTATAGTAATAGTATTATTTTTTAACAAAAGAAAGTTCTCTGTTTTAGTTTCCCGAATCGTACATTGTTACGTCGGAAATTGTAAAGATCTTTCCGGACAAGTACGAGGGTTACTATGAGATAAAACATCCGGACACAATCAAGGTGTGGGGCGAGGCGACAGCGACCTGCCGCTGGTCCTTTGTTTGTTATGAACAATGCGAAATGGAGGCAAAGGTCTACTACTTCTTATTCTATTTATTTTTTCTTTTTTCTCTCTTCTTATGTTGCTTTGTACTGGCAGGTTACATTTACAAATGAAGAAACACGCGAATATCAATTCTATAACATTACAATAACAGTGATACCTAGCGGAATCAAGGGGACCATGATATTTGAGTCCCGCGCGCGCGAGTCCGTGCAGAAAGAGCTGTCGATCTTCAATCCTCTCAGCACAGAGGCTGAGTTCAACATACATTGCGAGAACTTAGACAGCTCTGAAGTGATTAAGATTAATAGGAATTCTAAAGTAAGTGTTATTCATCTGTCCGCTTTTAATTAGCATTAAGAGATAATTATGCAACTATTTTTAATACATAAAATTTACGATTACAATTCTACCAAGGACTAAGAAGTACATTGAATTCGAACGCAAGACCAACTTTTTGCAGTCCTTATCCTAACCTATTGATTTATTTATAAGATACCTTATACATTGATTTAAGTATTGTTTGCCGTTCTTTTAGGCGCCTATAACTCTGACGTATGCTCCACTTGTGGTTGGTGAAACGGAAGAATATTTGCAAGTTTTTAACCCCCTAGTCGGTGTTTACATGTACAAAGTGACGCTTATATGTTTGCCGGCTAAGGAAAAGAATTTAGAATTTACAACGTCAATTGGATCCTCAGTCCCTCTTAGGTTAAGGGTGCAGAATAAGACAGATCTGAAAGCGGAGTTTTATATTACGGTACGGACACAAAAATTACTAAATCATCACACTGTCACTTTTCGCGTTTATTATTTGCCAGACAAGGATATAAGGTTGATCCATAATGACTTCCAATGAGCTTGACGGATTTTGAGGATTAGTCTCATTCGATTAGTATTCTTCTGCCGAGTGTCATAACTTCTACTTTAAAATTCTACAGAAACTAGACTTAAAATTTGTATTACAGGTTTCCCATCCTTCGATTATGATTGATGAAAAATACGCACTTGGTCCCTTGGAGAAAGGTAAAGTTCAGGCTTGGTTTGAGCCAACTGATGTTGGCTGCCAAGATTGCAGGGTTTCTTTGAACTCACCCACTGCTGGGGAATTTGTGTAAGTAGACAACGGTTTTTTTTATTAAGGATGATGTTTTTCGATTTGCCCTAAACGACGATTTTCGAGAAAAAATATTCCAGGCTACAAAAAGTTGCAAGTATTTTCTAATAGATAAATTTGATAACTAAGCTGTATTGTAATTCAATATTATTTTATACTATATCGCAGGTACAACATAAAAGGTATAGGCACGAAACCAAAACCTCAGGGACCGTACTTGGTGAAAAGAGGCGATTTCACGACAATTACGTTCAAAAACGTGTTTATGGACACGAGAACTTTTAAATTCAGCGTCGATCAAGAAGAATTTTATTTGAAATCAGTATACGAAACAGTGAAACCAAAAAAGGTAATTTTGTAGCACCAATATTTGTGACAATCGCCATTGTATCGTCATCATTATCAAAATTGGTATATTTTTGGTATAACTGACGCCAAATCGGAGCGCTGAAAAAATTTTTTACAAACTTTTTATAAAACGATATTCGCCCACTGCACTTTTATCGACGCATACATGCCTAATTATTTTTTTTACTTGTATTTGACAGGAGTTTTATTTGCCAGTTTACCTTATTCAAACACCAGATGACGAAGTTCCTACCGGATGTCTCACTATAGAGACCCACGAGCCGAGTGAACCAAAAGTTCACTGGACTTTCTTTCTACAAGGCGTACCTTAAATGTTTTCTTAAGGTTATGATTTTTTAATTTATTGAAATAAAAACCAATAAATCATGTCAAGAATGTGTTTTATTACCAATCACTGACACTCAAATCTTGAACAACATCCTCTGTGTCTGCTATGTCTTCTTCTTGCACTACCTCTTTGGATGTCTTTGTTTTATTTTTGTTTTTCTTCTTTTTCTTTAATTTCTTTTCTTTTGGTTTTGTCTCATTTTCTTCATCTGACATTTTAAAGTTGCCAGTGTCATCCTCACTGTCAGACGGGAATAGCTCCATAGGGCCAGTGTCTTTGTCTTTGTTTGTTTTTAATTCAGCTCCATCAAGGACTTTCGGTCTCTTTATCATTGGCAATTCCACACCGGTTTCATCATTCTTAGAGACCTTCTTACGTTTCTGAATCTTATTGATCTTTGACCAATTCTCAAAGAATATGTACAATGGCGTTCCCTTTGCTTTAATATTAGATTCCCAGGCGGCTACCATCTTTTCGTCGTTTAAGGCGAAACTGATTTTAGAACGTTCGCGATCAATAAATCGGGAATTTTCTTCAATCTTTTCCATCAACTGTCGCATTTTCTTTGTATAATTTGAAACATTACATGACTTTAAGAACTGCTTAATCTGAAAACAAAACAGTTACTTTTTTATACATAAATTGAAGAGTAAACAGATGTTATGTATTAAAATTAAGACATTTTCTTTAAATTACGGTCAATTTATACAAAAATATCATAAATAAGAATTACCTGTAAAACTGCAAGTAAGCTAATATCGGGAAAAGCAATGTTGTGTGATTCATTTGCAGTGTATTCCAACAAAAGTGCATACACCCTCTCAATAACTGAGTCTTTGAATCCATTCTCTGACAATTGAGACTTTGCCAATCTCAGGATACATGAGAAATCTAAAGGCTTCATTGAAACTTTCTTGTGTTTTTTATTGAAGTCGTATGTTGTTAGCACCTAGAAAATTAAAAGTAGTATGTAAAGTTTAATGCAAATTTACCCTAAATATGTGTTAAGCACAATATATGAACTTACCTCAACTAAAAATGGCAGGATAGGAATAAATGTATTAGTTTCCTTGGAAAGATTTATTAAGATTTCAACACAATGAAATCTAAGAGGATAGTACTGGTGCGTTGGAACTAATTTGATTGTGTTTGTGATAACCATCACTAAAGGATAAAGTAATGGTTGGAGTTGAGGTTTATTTGATGTTGCCGCTATCAAATCAGCCCATAGATGTAGAGAGTTTATATATTGCCAGTTGTAAACTGCTTGTCTATTCTCTATTTTCTGTACTACAATTGCATTTCTGAGATGTATTGCAAGCTGCCTTATGTACAGAAATACATGTTGGTATGCAGAATTTAAGTCCAAAGAAAACATTTCCACTAGAGACCTTCGCATGAAGTTTATTCCGGGCCATGTTGTGGGACTTACAAATTTAGAATTCTTCACATATGTCATATACATTGCTTTTAGTACTAAATCCAGTAGAGATGTTTGCTGATTTCTGGTTATTCTAAGAATGCACAAAAATGATAACACCCTCACAGTTTCTTCACCGGTACTCCACAATGTTATAAGTTTTTTTAAAGATTGCTTTGATATACGACTGAAGCAAGCTACATATACAGACATTTGATGCAAGTGCTTAAGAAGCACTGTCAATATATTCTCAGATGTAACTCCACTCAGAAGTTTTAATAGATCTTTTAGATATGACATTAATGGACCTTTGATTTTTATAAAGTGTTTACACTTCTGTGGGTCTTTTCCAGATTGCTCCATACCTAGGTACTTCTTTATAGCACCAGGTAAATATAAAACACACATTTGTATAACTGCATTGAATACAGAAGATCCTAAAAAGAAAATTCATTTTAAGATTAATGTAATTAATAAAAAAATTGTCAAACAATAATCAAATTCAAATAATCTATTTTAAATATTGTCAAATCTCTATTCACATTTAAATGTGAACAAAGAGGTCCTCAATGTCAGCAGTGGACTGGCAGAGCAGCCTCTGATGATGATGATGGTGATAGAATCTTATCTACTGGACTGTTTATTACTAAAGTTTCAAATGAATTTCATACCTTCAACTTTGAACTCTCCCTGAGAACTTTCATCACCTGTCACTCGCAACATGGCTGCATTAAATGCTTTTATAACTGTAGTCAATGTGGGAAGCTTTATTTTTCCCTCACTCTGAAGTTCTGCTTGCCACTGACTAATGAGTTTAAGATTCACTTTCCCTACAACTGGTTTTGTATCCTCATCCTAAATAAAAATATTATAATTTATTATTGTGCTATGGAATACTAATGAATCATTTAAATCTAAACCTTAGAGAAATTATTGGGTCATAATTTCTCCAAGGTTTGTTGATAAAGATTTATTTCTTTTAAATAATTTATCTATTACTTGAAATTTACAAGAATGATAACTACCTCAAAATCACTCTCATCACTGTCACCTTTGAGAGGACCTGGCTCATGTAGTTTATCTTCTTCACCTTCAGAGCCATTATCATCAGAATCTTCACCGAAGTTTAACAAATTTTCATCATTTTCTTCAAGAAAATTGTAAAAATCAGGATCTATGTTTTTCAATTTCTCTAAAGATTTTTTGTGCTCCTCTGGGGATAATTCTTCTTCTGAATCTGAAACAAAAACACGTTAGTTTAAAGACAAGTTTACGTCTAAAGCAATAATTGCAATAAATAAATATAAATGTTAAATAATTTTTACCTAAATCATCATGGGGCTCTTCTTTTTTTTGTGGTGGTTTTTTGGACTTCTTCATTTTCATTGTTTTTCCAATCTAATCAAAAAACTTTCTCTCTTTCCGTCTTCCTAGCCGTGTGAATGTTTAAAAATATTTAACCGTATTGTTTAATAATCTAAGACCGCATGGAAAACAACCTCACGTGAAACAGTGCGATGACAGTGACAGAGTCAATGACATAAGCCATAAATATAAAAAAAATTGTCAAAATGTAAGCAGTTCACAGACTACATAGTGTTTTTTTAAAAAAAACCGGCTTATCTATGTTTTATTTAACTTAAACCTTTTTTATTTTCTTAAATACCGCAGTGGTATTGAAACTCGAATCTTAGCTAAATTAATGCGAAATTATCTGTTTTTATCTCTCAGAACTGGTTTTACCTATTTTTTGAAAAAATAAAAAAAAATTGTCTATGCCCCCGCACTTCAACCCATAGAGTATAGAAGACTTGCTAAACTTTTAATCAAATAAAAAAAATATTTTCCAGAACAACAAGACAAGAATATAATAGAACAGTATCGAATTCTGTTGCACCGAAATTAAATTTGCGCAGCTTAACATCTATTACGACCTCTGGCCAGATCGGCATCAGTATTTTCACATTAACCGGTGAACTTTGTATTTCGTAATCTGGTGAAAATCTAAATATGTGAGTAAAAGAATAACAACATAGATTTGTGGAAAAGTGTTGTTTTTCTGCTGTTTCTACGATTATTGATAATAATTTTTTAGACTATTACATGTTTAGGAAAAAACAAAAAGTCGTAAATATAATATGAATCGTTATTTCTTTCAGTTGCATCATGCTGTCCCGAATGTGCGTACTTCGTTCGACAATAAATGTACAACAAACATTAAGAACGCCTATACCAACAAAGTTTGTTCCAAAGAATTATGTCATTAGGAATTACGCACGTGAAACCCGGTCCCGTGTTAGCACTAGATCACAACCAACCCTATGGGAAAGGTTAATGGCACCAGCTGGTCCTAATGGTATGATCCATATTTAAATTATTTCATTCTTTTTATCACTTATTTTGTTACGTCATTTTCAAAAACCTATAGTAAGGTTCCAGGGGTTCATTACCCAAGTTAAAGTTTTGTTAAGTAAACATTTTTAAACTGTTTTTCAATTTAGCAGTAGGTATAAAAGAATTTTTTTTTCGCCTCTATATAGGCGAGATCACCGTCTTGAAAGAATCCTAGTGGCATGGAAATTCTTATTCTGGCTTCTTTTTGCAGCATTCAGCTTAGGCAAAGGTGCATTGGCGGGTGCCTCAGCTGTGGGTATTGTTGCTCTTTGCTACTATGGGTCTGGAGTGAAACCCGGCACATTGCAGGAGTCACAGTGAGTTAATGTTTCTCTAATAATGTAAAAATGTATAGATAATTTTGATTGATATTTGTTTGCATAACCATTAGATAAAATTGTAGGTTCTTTACGCCTTGTTATAGAAATTTAAAATCCTAATGATCTAATAATAGACTATATTAAAATAAGGTTGAAAAATATGTCACACCTTTTTATTAAAAATATTTTTGCAAATCAACTATGATGACAAACAAGGTTATAAGATTTGTGATAGATTGGTGGAATTAGCTTCTTAACTATTAGCTGCATATATTTGTGTGCTATAGTTTGATTTTCACTTCACATGCTTTCCAGTAAGTTTTAATTTTTTTTTTAGTCTCTGGCCACAATATGTGAAAGATCGCATCAAGACAACATATGGTTATATTGCTGGCTCTCTAGTTCTGACTGCTGGAAGTGCCATTACAGTGTTTAGAACCCCGGCATTGCTTAATTTAGTGGCACGTAATGGATGGATGGTATGTTCATAGTACATAATTTTTATTAATATACTATACACATAAATTTGCATAATAAACTGAAAAATATGTCTGTTTCAGTCTATCATTATTACACTTGGCCTTATGATTGGGTCGGGAATGGTGGTACGTGGTATGGAGTACAGGCCAGGATTTGGACCCAAGCAGCTTGCCTGGATTGTGCACACCGGTATTATGGGTGCTGTAATAGCACCAATGTGCTTTCTTGGCGGCCCCATATTAACCCGTGCTGCTATGTAAGTATTAACAATAATATTTTCATGCATTCTTACTGAGAGTTTCAAGGCTACATCAGGTTGGAGGTGATTAAGCCATAGTCAACCATGCTAGTTGACACATGTTTGAATTTCATCACATATATATGAAGGTTACATCTCGATGTTTTGCATATACTACCATTAAATTCCCATTATTGCATGGTTTTTATCT